TAAATTTTTCTTTTAAATTTAACTTGTACTTTTTATTTTCTTTTATTTTAATAAAATCATAATGTATACCAATGCATTTTTTCTTTTCTTTTTTTTTGCAAAATATTATCTCAAAATAAGGTTAGAATTCTCATTTTAATTTTATTTTTTATATTATTCTTAACATTATTTCATAAATATATTGTTGTGGGACTTGATAGTTGTATTAAATTTTATTTGAATCTTTTATATATATATATATATAATTTAATTAACAAAAAAAAATATGAATATAATTCTTGATTTTATTGAATTTTTATATATTTTTTATAGTTATCCAAGTATAATCGACAGCCATTAGCTATTGATTATACTTGCATAATCGATAGCTAATGGCTGTCGATAATTTCTTTCATTTTTTTGGCAAAGTATAATCGTTAGTCAAGCCTTCAATGGAAGTACTATGTACTAGAACTTTCACAAAAGCTCGTGTTCCCCATTTCTGGTCCCCAACTCCCTATTGTTCAGATGAAGTTCTTGAGGTTTTATTATGTGGTGTCTTTTCTTTATGAGGAAAGGCAAACAAACAGTAATTATATATTCTTCTCTTTTTAAAAGAGGCATCCAATGTTGTTATCTTGCTTTCTTTTCCCTATTTATTCATTATCTGATGCTGATTAGTGAAACCACTTCAATCTATGAGTGGTTTATACAGTCATTTGTGTTGTAGTCGCATTCATCAATGGTTGATGTATGTCTATGCAGCTGAAAGCATATATAATGATTATGATTTCTTGCGCTTTTATCATTAAGTACAAATGTATAGGGATGATTATAAGAAATATTGGAAAAGGTTTAAGATTTGTAAGATTGTTTTAATTCTCTTTATGTGGTACAGGAATTTGTTTGTGGGGCTATGAATTAGCATGCACACCATGTGCGCATCACTTTCATGGTCTATGTTGAATGTCCTAGGAGTTCAGCCCCACCACCACTCAAACCCATTACTCTCCTCATGCCTTTCCACTACTTGGAAAAAAAAATTCCCGTTTCTCCTTTACTACCCTTCTCTAAGCTTTCTTTATGTTCTCACACAAAAGT